TTACAACGCTCGGAACCTCTTCAGATGATATACGTTGCGATTTCGAACAGAACCCTTTATTTAGTCGAAGTTATGGCGCGTGGAATTAGAAAAATATGCCCACGTGGACTAAATAAATGGTTCGATTCGAAATTCCAACGTACATCACTTGAAGAAGTTTGGAGCGTACAAGGCCGAAACATCGTTAATATGACAAAAGATGAAGACAATGATGTAAACAGAGTCAATCATTGCAATGCTTAATAAATCACATATGCCAGTTAATTTTAACTGTTAATTAGATATGTTTAATGATTAATTCATTTTCATCTAATGAAGAATTGCGGAGATATTTAAAGATCCGCTTCCACTGACACGCATCAAACAGACAAAAAGATTGAGTTACGTTGTTCTTAAGTCGGGTGGGTTGTAGCGAGAGCGAGAGAAAGAAATATTTATTTTCCCTAATATGTTTCTTTCTTTATGGGCATTGCATTATCCATGATATAACAACAACGATATTTCACGGACAGAACAAAATAGCTGAATGGCAAAAGGATAACACATATAATATTAGTGGTCAGTATACACACATAAACTTTGCGTGGGGCACACATATATATATATATATATATATATATATATATATATATATATATATATATATATATATATATATATATATATATATATATATATATATATATATATATATATATATAAAGAAATGGACAAAGTCCGACAATTTATTTATTAAAGACATTTTAAGTTTAACGTTCTTTTTTATAGATACAAGTAGAGACGGTAAGGCACGTCAGCGTAAATGACGGTTCCGTATAGGATGCAGGTTCGAATCCTGTCAAAGGACGAATATTTTCTATGAAAATTTCTCGAACATTCAGGCCGGTAAATGTTATTTAATACTGTTTATTATGAAGAGAGCATTTATTTAAATACTTGTATCTATAAAAAAACAACGTTAAACATAAAATTGTCTTTAATAAATATGTGTGTGTGTGTGTGTGTGTGTATATATATATATATATATATATATATATATGTGTGTGTGTGTGTATATATATATATATATATATATATATATATATATATATGTGTGTGTGTGTGTGTGTGTGTGTGTGTGTGTCCCACGCAAAGCAATTATAAGATACGCCTCATTAAATTCTGTGTGAGAAAGGGGAACCTTACTTGTTATGTTTCTTGAAGGGAAAACAGGTTTTAAAGCTTGGGTTATGCCATGTGACTTTTCTTGCAAAGCCTACCACTGTGGCCTAAGGACACACTTCGTCTCTGGGTTCTGCATGACAACTGCTCTCGTCAATCTCCTCCCGACCTTATTCACCGGCTGTCACGTTATCCTCGTGACTATCTCAATGAAAGAGAGAGAATAGCCATTTGTAAGCCGACATACACAATTCACTCAGCCACCAAGTAAGTGTAAAATAAGGAGACATACAGCGAGAAACAATATCTAATTTGTCAGCTTTGCACACAACCCAGCGATGCTGTAAGTCAACATGCATACTACTAATTCAGTGTCAGTATCTATTAAGCTATTCCTCTTCTATGTGTTGCGCCCCCCTCAGAGAAGGGGCGATCATAACTCTCCACAATTTCCTGTCCTTTGTAGCTGTAAATACATTGTCTTATTTCTACAAACCCTGTTCCGCCATCCATTTACCGAAGCTCATTAAGTATGTTATACATTTCTATTCTCCGACTGTCTTTACCTTATTCTGTACTCTGAGTATCAGATTCTCAAAGCCCGCCTTTCTCATTATGTTCTCCAGAAACTTCAATTGTATATTCCTGATATTAAATATAATCTTCCTGCTTTTCATTTTCTCTAAAACCTCGTCGTTACTCAGATGTTTAGTCTATGGCATCCCCAGCAATTTTCTGTAGTGACATATTCCGTTGCTTCATGTCTCTTATTCATCTTTGGGGAATTGTCCAGCATTCACTGCCATATAGCGGGATAACTATTACGTAACATTTCAGTACTCATCATACTCTGCTTAGCTTTTGGAAGGCAATTTTTGGCTATTCCAATTCACCGTCGGATTTCAGTGTCGCATTTTTCCTCCTCTGTGAGAACACTTTCCAGATATTTAAATTTTTGTGCTTGGCTGAATTTTTGTTTTCTGATTTGTCATTTCAGTTTTTAACTCATCCTTTTGCTAATAATCAGGACATATTTATATACCACTGAAGAAACTGTGGTTGCCTAGAAAATCATTTTTTTACATCCTGCCATTTTAAAAAGTTTCAAATACTGAAATCAGATACTGTTTTGATATACGCTACTGCCACAACTAATAGGTAGTCCGTCTTTATTAAATCCTCAGGAATCATAGATTTCCACAGTTTCTTGTCCTTTGTAGTTCTAAATCAAAGGACAAAATCAGATATCATTGAATAGTCTGTGTTAATTAAGCATAATTTAGTGAAAGTTGCGATAGATCTGTGCGTAAAAAGATTTTGTAGCAAAACAGTGCCCGAAACCGCTTGTCAAATGATCTTCAATAACAAATAGTCACCTGTGGGAATAACAATTACCTTAACCATTTGTCTATTGATATTTAGTTAATTTTGATTAATCCTATAGAAAGAAACAGGGATAGAAAGAGAATGGGAATGCCTATTTTTATACGTACAAGAGCCATGAGTCAGACTAGGTAGAATTTAACGGATTAAGAGGACAATTTATGTGTATATGTGGAGATGATAACGGCTGGCTTTTGACTGGAACAGGCCTATATTATAGCGATCGGGGATACATACTCTTGTGGGTCTGTTCCACAAGGCAGGTGTTTGTGTGAAGAAACTGTACGTGTGGAACTTACATCTCATCAATCGAATACGAAGGGAATGGTGGCGGTTCGCGACAATGTTTCATAGCATGGCGGAGCTCTATACGTAAATGTTAAAACAGGTGGAACTATGGAATGTAGTTCATCTGAAGACTTTCCAGGAACAATCAGTAGAACTGCGAGATGCTTGCAGACTTTATTCTCTGGGAAAGGGACTGTAGGGTGTAAAATAATTCGTCACCCACAATGACATGGAGGGACGTTTGAATTCTATCAGGAGTGGAAAGTGAAAGCAGATCAGCTCCTAACGCATATATAAGTGCAGTATTCCATCCTAGGCTCGATTCCTGTTGGAGAATGCATATTTTTTTAGAAGATTTCGGAAATATTCAGGCCAGTAAATGTGTAATTGGTAGTATTTAATTGAAAACAGAACATTTACTTAAATAAATTGTATCCATAAAATAACGTATAAACAGAAAATATATTCATTATTTACATTATTCAGACTATATTCCTCAGCTTTGTTGCCATATTTATTACAACGTTTCGGCCGTTGTACGCTCCGGCCTTCTTCAGGTGGTTAAAATGTCGGATTATTTCGCTCACTGAGGTAGACTGTTCAAGTTCCACGTGCCATGGATGTTTAATGCATTTCAGTTATCAGTCATATCCTGTTAATTTCCCTCTGAAAGTTCTCCACTGCCTTAAACGGGTATTGAACTCACACTCTTTGGGTCCTTCCACTGGATCTAACCAACGCCTTTATCCACTGTGCTGAAACGTTGTAATAAATATGGCGACAAAGATGTAGACAATAGTCCGAATAATGTAAATAATGTACATAATATCTCATCTCAGAAATATAGACAGATACAGAAAATATATAAAATGATTCAGAAACTTAATCTTTTTCATTATATGTTGTCATTGTTTACGTTAAAATACGTTTCGCGGGCAGATAAACTCGATCGTGAACAATCATGGAAGATTGTGTGCTTAAAAACAGTACTTTAGACTTTGCTTACTAGATATTTCTCTGTAGCTAAATGGTATAGTACGTCAGATGATTTCCTTATAGGAATACAGGTTCTATTCCTGTCGGTAAACGCATATTTTCTACAAGATATCTCAAAAATTCAGACCGGTAAATTTAATTAATATTGTTTAATTAAAAACAGACGAATTACTTAAATAAATTTAATTTGTTTTAGTGTTGCCTTGATTGGTATTTTGCTATGAAAATGTATTGTTACCTGTTTTATTATAACAATGTACACTTGATTTTTGTTTGGGGTTAACTATTTGTCCATAGTTGGGACCCTAAAAGGTGCTACCACCACAGGTTTAGGATATGAGGAGGAGTCCGTAAATAGAGCCATGTAGGACCGAGTTTTTTCCAGCATTTTAAAGATGTAAGAGTTTCGAAGTTAGTTGAAGTCCCAAAAGAGGCACAAGGCACGTGGCTTCCAATGTGAGAGAAGCCGTTCATTGGGATTAGTGAAAAGAAGCATAAAAACTCTATTTTTTTGTTTTTCTTAAATTTACACATGAACATTGATCTCTAACAAATACGCAATAATCTCAGCCACCAAACAGGATCGGACACTGTATTATCTCTGTTGGAAGGCTTGATTTGTCGCCAACATCGCTCAAGGGCGACATGTTTACCACTGACTACTTATCATTGAACAAAGATGGTGATGTCAGTTGGCTGATAGATGTAGCCTGTTTGGTTATGGGGTGAGTCGAGTGAATGAGTTTTGGCGAATATCTACTGTACCATGTTGGGATGTGTCTTGGATTATTTCTCGCTATTTTCTTTCCATGTGCCTTTCTTTCCATTATTTGCTGTGTCAATGGCCACTGTCCATTCTTAGATTTTCTCATTTTATATCCTTCTATAGGTTTTTGCATTTTCCTATTTATTTCTTTTCTTGTCTTCAGCGTGTCTCTTTATCTCTTTTATTCTTTTGGGATTCTTCTTTCTTTTTAATGCATCGTTTCCAAATTGTTCTTGGAGTATGTCTCTTCTTGGCACCGTTTTTTCTACCAATATTGCGTTATCACGACATTTTTTTTTCTTCGTTCGATATCTCTCATATTAGCATTTCATTTTTAATTTCATCTTTGTTTCCAATGTGTTGCTCCCACTTTCTTTTTGCAGTTTAACGCTTCCCAGTTCGGCTCGCGGTCACGTCCCGTTGAAACAACGATTCCCGTACGATCATTGAAGATAAGCAACGTCGAGCCTGGTTTGTATATAAATGGGTGACGACTTGGGAATACCAAGTGCTGTAAGGTTGTGTTTGCGAGTGACGTAATGTATATTGGTACGGATTTGTTAAACAGAGAGCCGTGTTCCAATTCCAGTTGGTTTCTTTGTAGTCATTTATGCGCACATATCCTTAGGAACCGTATATATCCCGGCTTTTCTCCGTCCAGTTATGGGTTAATTATTAAGACCTATATCACTAAACCATCATTATCTCCAAAAATAAAATAAAAAAACATTATTTAGATTTCAGCATTAAAAGACCCATAGTAATGTTGTTATGCCGCTAAACAAAACAACCAACAATCTTCTTAGTTGCTGTTTCATTTAATTCATTTTGTCGTGTCGATTTTCTTCTTTAAATATGGTCGTTAGCTATTTTTATCTATCTTTTTTTTTAAATATGGCGTGTGACCACGTTCTTCTTTTTATATACATTTTGTTCTTAATACTTTTTTAAATTTAAATGTTCATTGCAACTTGTCATTAGAATTCTCTCTCTTCTTTCAATATGTCTCTTTTAGATATTTTTTTACTATTGATTATTTTTTTCTTTCCAATATGAAATTACTGATTTCTTCTTTCAGTTTGTTTCTCTTGATTTTATCACTCTTTCAAATGTTGCTACTTGCTTTTCCTTTCATTAGTTTGGCATTATTTTGTTCTTTTACACTTCCAGTAGCGCCATATTGAAAAGAAAGAAGGAATTCTTTCCTTTCAATATGGCGCTACCACTGTATTTTCCACCAATGAATTCTGTCTCAACATTCTTTTTTTTTCTAGCAATTTTCTCGTCATTTCCAATGTGTTTTTAACCGTTTATATATTTCTTCGTTTAGTATTTCTTTCTTTCTCACTTCCCAATCTGATATTTTGTATCTTGATTTAAAATTTCAGGACATTTTAATGGTTTCATATTTCTTGTAAATATTTACTAAACCTATCTTAATCTAGTGTAAGACAATAATGAAGTTGGAATTAAAAAATCATTATTGTGGACATCGCAATCAATGTATACATGTAGAGTGGGGACGTAATGGTGAGCAAGCTAGTTCAATTACGACTGAGTATTTGGGAATCGGAGAGCCGAGTTCGAATTCCATTCGAATCCATTACATTCACTTACATGCAAATAACCTTGGGAAAGGTATGAATCCTCTTCTTCTCCCCCAGCTATGGGTAAATTGCAGGACAGACCGGGTTCTATAGCATTGGAAGGCCACTGGCCTACTACTGAAAAAAATGCCAAACTACTACGGGAAAAAATCTGCGTCGTCTGTCATGTATCGAAAGATACATGATCGCCTAAGCGTGTATGACGCAGGGCACTTAACTGACTGAGTGAATTCGATCCTTTCGCTCTTCTGCCACATCTAACCTGCGGTTAGCAAGCTCGTCTCACTGAATAAAGTACGTCTGAATAGTGAGTTCAGTTCTCACTGGGTTTCTTATAATTTCTGCCTTGTATCCACATCTAAGCTACGTTTACTAACTCTCTGTATATTCACACTCATGCCAGAATACAAACATATCTCTATCTATAAAAGGCAGGATATGTGTGTGTGTAACGAATGCACGGCTGCAATTTTCGACGGATTTGCATCAAAATTTACATGCACATGCTCCAAGTTAGCGGGAAGGCCAAGACCGGCATTGCATTCCCCAACTCCCATCGATAGTGGAAATAATCAATTTTTTCATGCTTCTACGGCACTTTTCATGTAGTTTGCGGCCATTTTCTACTGGCCAGAGTGAGAGCCTATAGCTAGCTGCCACGAATAGGCAGGGCGATTCTATTGGCCAGCGTGAGAGCCAACAGCTGAGTGACACAATGTTAACAAGCATGCTAGCATGCAAAAAAATAATCCATAGCTGCATTCGTCACAAGTGGGAAAAATTTAAATCTGCATGGCACTTTACTCCAATTGGCTCATTCGCTTGCTTAAACTCAACGTTGATTCTGATTCCGCAGAAGTGGGTTGGGCGTGAAAAAGTATTTATTGTTAACATTCTTTTTTAATTCGGTTTTTCCAGTTACGAGTCCTTTTTTAAAGTTGATCGTTTTGTGTTCATTTTGTTTAGTTCTTTTTTCGTAACAGATTTAATGTTTAGTATAGAGCTTAGAAAAAATTCGCAGTGTGAGATAGGCAAAAAGTAAGGCATGTAGCAACATCAGCACGGCAAAGGGTACTCCTTTAAAAGCAAGGAAGGGCAAAAATATTTTAAGTCAAGTGATAGCGATTGATGTATGAGTCGTACGATTTTTGAATCAAGCACGGGCGACGCCGGGCCATGCTGCTAGTATGTATATACATTTGTTTGGCCAAAAGTTTATTCGAATTATTATTAAGAAGAGAAAGTTATTTTGGGAAATCCCAGTATATAAAATTTGATTAATCATTAATTTATTATTTACGGTTTATCAACTCCTGCGGATTATTTGAAACCAGAAAATATTTTTAGATTATATTAATATTTTTGATAATAATTATTTACTGAAACGTCATATTAATTAATCCATAGCTGGGGGAGAAGAGGTGGATTCACACATTTCCCAAGGGTATTTACTTGTAACTGAATATAACGAACCCATCTGGAATTGGAATTTGGCTCCCAAATTTCCAATTCTGAGCCGTTATTCATTCCACCATCGTCACATCCAGCGTTAAAACCCCTGGCATTCCCAACCAGACTCGATTTTGACAGAAAATAGTTTTAGATTTTAAGAATTGTTTTGGATAAAATAATGATTCCCTGATACAAGTTTAACTAATTAACCTATAGATGAGGGGGAAAGAGGCGCATTTATATTCCCTTAAGCAAAAATACCCTTTCTCAAGGGTATTTTTGCTTAAGGGAATATAACGAACCCGACTGGCATTAGAATTCACCTCTCTGATTTCAAATTCTGTTACACCACACGTACAGGCAAGATTAAAACATCTGGTATTCCCAAGTGGTCTAGTTCAGAGTTTCGAAAACTTTTTTACCCTTGTGTCACTCTTGAAAGAGTTTTTATGTCTCAGCGAACCTCTGAAGAAAATTATTATATACTATTATTAATAATTATCTCATTTATATGTCATCATATTTCACGTGTTAAACATAATATATGAACAGCGTGCATTTTTCCTGTACTCGAGTGAGTAACCCAATAATACGTGAATTTCTCACATACAATAACTCCACGAACCAGTGAAGGCGGTTTTATATTGACGCCATATAGATATCGTTAAATACATTACGGATCATTATTATAATTTTAAATAATAGAAACGGTTGAAACCTTTATTATAATAACGAAGGATTTTCCAACAATATGCCGTATGTTTATAGTAAAATTACGAATATAAAATTCAACAGAAATTACTTTACAGAAATTTATTGGCCTATTTATCACTGTTTTTCGCAGAACCCAACGTGACTTCATACGGAACCGTAGGGTTCCGGAGACCACTGGTTGAGAAAAAAACTTATCCTGCCTTTCCTGCATTGTATCTTGTAGAGCCGTGTCCAAACTATGATCCTTGGGCTCTATAGGAAAATTGTCATTTAACCGATGGCACTCTTCTTAGTACATTGGATGTTCCTAGTAATACATCATATTAAATTCGTAATTCCTTCTGTTATTTAAAATTCATAATTCCTTCTGTTATTTAAAATATATAATACATAAATTTATCCTATAGTAAAATACTTTAAAATACTTTAGTAACTGAATAAAAAAATCAACAACAATATCATTTACTCACTTTCGTTTATTAGACATTAAATTCAACATGATATGGTCGTTAAATTTTCACCCGTGCGACGCAACATGCTCTGCAAAATATTTCATAACTTTCACACATGGATCTTACGAAATGCAACATATATAGGGAATGAGCAGACCGCATCAGACGAGTAGTTATCCAACTGCCACTCCATCCGCTACTGCAGATTTTGCTAGAGTATGCAGTTTAACTTCTCCACGAAGTAGCAGAAGTAGTGGATATTCCAAGTGTTGAGATTCGGGTCACTTTGCTAGAGCCTGTCCAATGTCCTCAAATAATTCAAGGATTATAAATGACTAAGACAAGATGTGTTGTTCATGATGACTGTCGTCTTTGAGTATAGAATCCAGAGGTTAGCAGTGAATATTTCGAAGACAGTAGGGAAGCGTATTTCAGGTTAGCAGTGGATGTTTTGGTAAAAGTAGCAGAGCGTAGTTATTCCTTCTGTTCCTCTTCGCCTGACAAGCTGGCACTGGACATTCGGATAGAGTAAACAAAATGGCCGCCTTTATACAGGACGGATTGAATATTCTACGTCTTCTGATTGGTTAACCTTCTATAAAGTGAGTCAAGTCATTTGGGCTAGCTCACTAGTTACATAGTATACACAAAAAACTGCAACAAGATGACCCTTGGAGTTTACCCGAGAGAAGCGGCTTATATTCGACCAAACTCAGCAGAAGATAAAGAAACTTTATTTAAGTGTGTTCCAACAGGGATCAACTTTTCGAAATATGATGAGATCCCAGTGAATGTATTTGTAAAAGTAGTTCCAGGAAATATGCTTATTTGTGAATCCCATTTTAAAGGACTTTTAATAGGAAACATTCAGCGTGCAGATTATGTCAAACCTACACTAATAGAGAAAAATGGCATACCTGTCATTCATGCTGGTCGTGACAGAATCTAGTAAAGAACTGCATTTGTTTTACCAATGCTAACCTCCCGATTGAAAAGTAATGCACAAATTTGCAGACAATCACTTCCAAAATATTCTTAGTAGATTCTATTACAAAAGAACTGTCTGTCCAAATCTCCATGGACACTCGGAAATTTGCATATGGAAAAAAAATTAGGTCTGCTTAAGTCTATGGTGCCACATCAGTTGACAGCCAATCAAGAAACCTGCGTGAAGGTGCTCCCTTTTGGATGGTACATCTGGCAGACTTTTAGATTTATTGCATCAAAAATACAATTAATTTGCCAAAAGTAAAGCAGGTCATTTTGGATGTGGCAGATCGAATGCCGTACAT